ACTAAGAGGAATTTGCTCTGTTAAAAAACAGGGTTAAGTGGCAGGCTGGGAATAAATCCTGCTTCTAAGAGAAGACTCAATTTTTGGTTGGGAAATGCAGACAATTTTTCAGCCAAACAACCATTCAGATTTTTGCTGTCGCTGCCAAGCACCTCCACCTTTTTTGCATCTTTCCCAGTGCCTGAGAAAGCCAGAACCTGAGCACAGTGAAATGCAAGAACAACAATGTTGTGCTTCTGAAGGAGTCAGGAGAATGCTTGGATAAAACAAGCTCCAGATCCAATGAATAGCAATAACTACACAGCTCTACAGAAGCTGGCTGCCCAGGTGTGCAGCCACTGCAGCATATACGAAATTATGGCAGGCCTGGAGCATCTTTTACCAATTTGTCGTTACTCTGATAGTTAGGTAATACCTTAACAAAAATGTCTCAGCATGAAACCTTCCCTCTGTTGAAATATGATTATTCATTTCTCTCGTGTTATTTCCTGCTGGTATAGAATAGCAAGCTCCTTGGTAATTTTTTTTTTCCCAGCAACCAAAGCTGGAATACTAGGAATTTAAACTTCCTGTATTTTTTAAATTTTAATTTCTCCCCTCAGGTCTCCCCCATTAAGGCTGTTTCAGTGTATGTACCTTACACTTGCATTTAAATACAATTTTGGGAGGTTTGGATTGCTTAATCATCTCCATTTCAGATGTATACTCCAGTTAAACAGCAGTGGCTGCAGGATGAAAGAATAACTCAGCAGAAAGAATTAATTTAGAAATTTGCCAGCATTAAATATTGTTCACACCTAAAAGGGGGCTGCCATCCTCACCAGAAGTAAGGGGTGTTTCGGTGTGCCTGTCTCAACTCCTTTCCACTGGCAGCTCCAGCATTTCCCTCACTGTGCACTTTGTCCATGCATCAAGCAGTGGAATATGCCAAGAGGCATCTGATAGTAGGTCAGATGAGGACAACGTGGATTTTTTTCCCCTGTTTTGAACTTTGGCTTCTTTCTCAGGAAAGAAGCATAACACACTCAAGAGCAAGATTGTCAGAGGAACAACTACATGACACGTACTCTATTGTTTGGGGAAGTTAATAGTTAATTGGATACTGTCAAGCTCCAGTCAGTAAACCTTCCTAATGCAAACGTTCAATCAGTGAAAGGACAAAAAGTAGGAAGGCTCAGACAGTCCTTGTGAAATAACTGTCATTATTCTCATCTTGTAACAGAGTCTTTTCTTAAGCAGACTAAGCTCTCCTGACAAAAGGACTTTTATGTGAAAACGTCTCTGCCAGTTTTTTTTCCAGCACAGAAATGCAAAAATTCATATCCTAAGCAGCACTAATCTATTAGATGCAAACAATGGTGCCTTTAACGTTTCTAGCTCGCTGGGATCGGTACAGAAAAATCTGCCATAGATATGTCTGTGTGCATGAGGATGTGCATGCTCTAATTTTTGTTTGAAAGTTATTGTGCTAAATTTATTTTTCAATTAAAAAATCCATTTAATTCTACTTCTTTGTAAAAGGGAGGATTGAAGCACACATTTACATAATAAATTCTCACCACTCAATGAGTAAAATCACAGAACAGCCTGGGTGTCAAGACCTTGCAAACTTCTCCTGAGCTTCTTTATTGCAATCTGCTTGAATTGCCACCAGACCCTCCTTGAAACCTTTGAGAAAGAGAAAAATCACTGAGGGCTACTGTGCAGGTACCCAAATGTGTAAAAAATACTGCAATGTGTTGAAGCACTGGTAAGAAAACAAGACAGCGTATGGAAACTTGTTAAATGTCACTCTTCAGACAGAATAACTTGCAAGATTTTTCCACAGTTTCTAAAGTTCTAGTGGGGAACTATCCCACTACATCCAGTGTAAGAGCTTTAATGGAGAATACAACTCCAAAGGTTTCCCAGAGAAATTATTGATGCCCCAACCCTGGCAGCGTTCAAGGCCAGGCTGGATGGGCCTTTCAACAGCCTGGTCTGGTGAATGGTATCCCTGCCCACGGCAAGGAGCTTCGGACCTAGATCATCTTTAAGGTCCCTCCCAATACAATCCATTCTATGAGTCTATAATTCTGTGGAGATTAAAAATGTGTACTATGGACTTTGAAGTAGGTGGAAGGAAAGCACGGAAAGGGAAGAAATCGAGTCCATGAAAAGGACAGAACATTGCCAACCAGTTAGCACTACATGTCAAGAGCAGAACTCTTGTGAGGTAGACAGGCTCCTATCCGAAGCTAAGTGTGCCATCTGATTCGAATGGAAGTTTTCAAACCCTAAAAGATGCATGGAATTTCTGGAACACATGAAACAAACCACTGAAGGTAGGGGATTACTTACAGAACAGCAGCATTATGACCCTAAAAAGTGAACCCATACAGCAAAGCTGCCACTGACTTTCTCTCAGTGATAGCACAGTGCAGGAACCTCTGGAGGGAAGCGAGTTCATTTTTATGCCCTCACGGCTGTACCTGTGTAACCACGGTGGGCGGCCCACACGCCACTGCACCAGCACACTCTGCCCAGAGCGGGACAAAGCACAGAGGGCTCCTTTTACTGGCGTGAAGCAACAAGCTGCTCTTTAATTTCAACAGCTCTCAAGCCAAGCTCCGGGAGGTGTTTATCAGCAGGGTATGAACTCAAGGGTGAAATTCATGACTGACTTCTTGTAAAGTGGTGAGCCAGCAGGTCATACGGGGCACTGATACATGCGGCTTGTGTGGTACCGACAGGCAGACAGAGAAACACCCACGTAGCAGGCCAGGAGCTCAGCCCTGACCCAAGTTCAGAGTGCACCGCACCAGGGGGCAACAAGCACGCAAGCGCTGGCGCAGCTAAGCCTTTCCTGGGGCTTTCCCGAAGCCACTAACCCTCAAAAAACGGCTCCAATAAAGGGTACACGCTACCAAAAGCAGCACTTCAACAAACCGCCCCCGCTCGTGGCTCCCGCCGCAGCCGCTGAGGGAGGCTTTGCGAGACAGCGCCATTTATAGCCACGGCAGAAGAGAGTGACAGGCGGCCCAGCCAATGAGTAGCGCCATCCGCGGCAGCGCCCATTGGCTGCCGCTGTGCCGGCGGGTGGGCGGGGCGGGGCTCCGCGCGCTCCATGGCGCTCGGGGCGGGGGGCGGTCGCTGGGGTTGGGCGCGCCGCTGACGCGGGGGGCGGGCGGGGAAGGGGAGTGAGAGCCCCGGCGGAGTCCGCACAGCCCCCGCGCCCCGCGGGTCCGCCGTGCCGGAGCGCCGCGCACAGGTGAGCACGGCAGCGGCGGTCAGCGCGTCCCGCTGCCCCTGCGCGCCCCGCGCCCTTGCGGACCGCCGGCTCGCCTCCGGGGGGTCCGGGGACGGGCGGCTCTCCTCACCCTCTGGAGCGGCAGTACGGTGGAGGCGCTTCCCCTCCCCGCGGGTCTCTGCGGTGTCGCCGGAGGGAGGCTGGGGGCCGTCCTGCTCCGCCATCTGCCTGCCCGCTCTCCCCTGCGCTCCCGTGCACCTGCGTGGCTGTGCGGGGAGCGCCGGCCGCTCCTCCGCAGGACTTGCTGCCGCCCTCTCCCTTCGCACGCTGCTCGGGGCTGCCCGCAGGGCTCCGGGGCAGAGCGGCGCTGCGCCCTCTCCCTCGCTTACTAGGGTGCCTGGGGGATACTCAGCTTCCCACCCTCCCTCCTCCTCGCCGAGCGTTGGGATCGCAGGGGCGTTCGGCAGAGTTTGCAGTTTCCTGTGTCTGTTCCTTCCCCCGCAGCCTCGCCGCGATGCCCCGGGCGCCGCGCAGCTCCCCGGACCGGCGCTCTCTCTCCCCGCCTCTCTCCCTCCCTCCGTCCCCGTCAGCTCTCGCCCTCTGCCGCCCGGCAGAGCTGGCGGCTCCCGGTGCCCGTCACCCCCCCGATTTTTCTCTTCCCCGGCGAGATAGCTGCGACCGGGTCGGAGGGACACCGAGGAACGTCCTGACTAACTGGGGACGGCTTCCACGGGGGCAGCCGATCCCTCTTCCCCGGGTTTTCGGGCCGCGGGATGCCCGGGTGACGGCGGCCGGCTGCGCGCCGCGGTCTGTGGGGGAGCGTGTCAGTGGAAACACAGCGGAAAAGCCCCTGTTTGGCAGGTCCCCGCCGCCTTCGCCTTTCAGCTGTCGTTTCCTCACGGGCCGCTCTTCCGTGCCTTCAAGAGCAACCTTTCCAGTGCAGCAGTGCCACCGCGGTAGGTGATTTCGCACCCTCCCGGCAGGATGGGGTCTGGCTCATCCTCTCGGAAGTCTGGCACGCTTCACGCTGTGATCCCGCACCATCCAACCCTTCAGCAGCTATATGAAGCGCTTTTGCAGGCGCACTGGAGTGTACCAGTTTTTATGGTTTGCGGTTGGGAATATGCTTTGTATGTATTTCGGGAGTGTCTAGATACAAGCAGAAAGTTCTTGGTTTATTTAAGACGTGATTCAGTAAGGTTCTGCTCAGCATTCGAGAGGTGCCGGCACCTTCAGCACCTATGGCCTTTAGCATTCAACCAGGTCATCCCCTTCAGTCTTGCAATGGGAAAGGTTCAGGTCATAATGGCTCTGGCAAATTTTGTGGGCTTCATCTGTCTAGTTATACCCTATCATATTGTCATCTCAAACTGATTACCCCTCAGTTAAATTTGTTCAGATTGTGCTGTAAATTATTGAACAAACCTAAAGTGGCCACCTGGGACTTAAATAATTTATGTGCAACTACACATGAGTTTCTTCTGGTTTAGCTATATGCATTTTTAAAAACTGAAATCTGTCTGGTTTTTGCATGGCCTTGATGTATGCAGTTTGATATAGTGAAATGCTTAAATAGTCACCTAAGTACTGCTGAGCTGTAGCTGAGCTGCTGCTGCCTGTGCTAAGAGGAGTGGTTACAATACCCGAAGAGAAGCATGAAAGCAGAACCAACCAACTCAAACTCATGAGATAATTATTGATTTGACACAATGTTGTGCATACTGACTGCTGGTTGAATCAGGTTGCTACTATTGCTTTTACTTTTTTTGAGGATTCAGATAGCGCAGTGAGAGGCCCTGATCGCAACATCTTGGTTTTGTTGCAGCAGATGTAAAAATTATGCCCGCATTTTCTGGAAAGGCAGGCGGTTCACTTTCCTTGCATTATCGGATAATATTTCTACTCGCCTTGTTGCCTTCTCTTGTTTGCACGTTGGACCAGCTGCCACTTGCCCTAACTGGGATAATCCCTCTAGCTTGCAGCCTGGTCCTTTTTGCACACCTGAGCTGCTCCAGGTGAGAGCTCTGACTGATGCTAAAATAACTGGGGAAACTGGATAACGGTTTAAGCATCTTTGCTTCAGAGACACTTCAGCTGAGTCAAACTGTTCATCTCAGTATCCTAGTTGCTTATTCTGGTAGTTTGGGAATCGCATGAACTTCCTGAATTCACATAGACAGTCCTTATAAAACTTTGAGACTTTGGATCTTTGCCTGTCCTTGCTATTAAAGTTCATCTCGACTTTTATAGTCTCACATTATTATTATTGCTGATACTTCTGGCTTTTACTATGTCCATCTCCCATTCAGAGTACTGGTACTGATGATATTTCCTGGCATTCTGTGCTCTCTGTGTTAGCTTTCTATAGATGTCTCAGTTGTCTTTTTCTCTCGTTGTGTTGAGCTTGGGTTTCTCATACCATAAGGTGTTTTGCAGTTCTTTCTATTCCAGTTCATTTTTTTTTTCTCAGTGAATTTTACCATCCACTGTGTCTGCTTCCCATTTACTTGCATTTGTTTCCTTCCTCATAGACACTGTTGGCATTCTGAGTTAATGTTTAAAGCCACAAACCTATCTGTGCGTGAAGTTCCTCAAATAGAGCACATTACTGGCATTATAGGTGAGGTAGCTGTGGTCCAAAGGTAAACACTTTCTGTAACCTGGATGTTGTGACTGAGATTGGGACACAAGAGCTTGTAGTTCTGCAACTTTATTGTCAGATTACATTCTTTTGTTAACCATGCTTTTTGGTTATGCCTTGTTTTGTGGGCCCTTTGGTAAAGGTAATAAGTGCTGTGATATAAGCTTGGGAAGAATAGGTAAAATTTGACTTGGTACCGTAATAATAAAGTGGTGTTTTCCCCCATTGTACTGAATGCAGCAAGGCTAGAAGGTGACAGAGACTGCTTCCAAAGAAAATGCAGAGCAAGTTATTTATTGCTGAGTAACATACTTGTATCAGATATAGTTTATAGTGGGGGAAAAACTTGGCAGTGCCTTGAAAGAATGTTGACTGCTAATGTTTGACTACTGTAAAGATGATTTCATACTTTGAAAACTTCTCCCTTCTTTTTTAAAGTTGGTTTATTTATTTCCCTATACTCTCTCTGTCTTGCTTAGGACAGTGCAATTAGATGCTGGCTGTTTGGCCAGTTGATGATTTTCTAATACCAGAATATGGAACCTTCCTGAGGGATAAAACTGAACTGTAGGTAACTTAGGTTTTATCTTTGTCTATGTGGCAGAGCTATTGGAGTGATACAGTCATACCATGGCTTTTTGGGGGCTTCTGGGTTTATGCCAGTTGGTATGTATTGAGAAGTCTCTGCATGTGGGACTGTAGTCTGTGCTTCAGTTACAGCTGAGATAGGAAAAAATGGTTGTGGATGCATCAAATCCTCTTGCACCGAGCAAAGATGAGCGACACAGGTTTGTACACAGTGTTCAAAGCTCTGGTCTCTCAACTTGCTGGAGGTGGTTCTGCTCCTGCAGTTGCATGAGGCCTCACTGATTTCAGAGGGATTTTGTTGAAGTGAGGTCTTAGGAGTGGGGCCTTGAGTTACTGCATCCCAAAAGCAGCTTTTGTATCAGTTTGACACCGGCCAGTTGACATATGACCTTGCCTTGTGTTGAGAATAAAATTGTAATGTTGGTGATGTGTGTGTTTGTCCTTCAGTGGCCAAATTCCTGTGAAATACAGCTCCCCCAGATGCAAACAGTCTTAGAAAAGGCACACATTAATCTAACTAGTTCTATTCTTTGAGCCAATACTGAGGCAGTGAGAGGGAGGTGCATGTAAGACACAGCAATGAAGATGGGGTGTATTTCAGTTTTTGGGAGACTCCTCTAAGTATTTTTGGCATAATCTGTTAAAATTTTGTTTCCTTTAAACAGGAGTAGAAGAATAAAGAGAAGTTGGATTGATGAGAACTATAAGAAAGCGTACAACAGTTTGGAATGGATTGATTTATGATACATCTGATACATGAGAGCTACATTTTGTGTCACTATTGTCCAGCTGCTGCTGGAGTACTTCAGCTGATTTCATTGCAGCAAGCCCAACAGATAGGTCCTCATCACTAACAGAACATAAGCAAGTGTGATGCTGAAATGAGATGAGGCTCCGAAATGGAACTGTGGCCACCGTGTTAGTTTTCATCACTACTTTCCTCAGTTTGTCCTGGTATACTGCATGGCAAAATGGGAAAGGTAAGGAAAAAGCTCCAAAACCTGACCGCCCTCACTGGCTGCATTTCTGTATGCTGCTGCTGTATGTTAGCAATCTGTAAATTGCTTGTTGACTAGTTCTGCTCCAGAAGGTATTGTCTTGGTGAGAAATAAATACTTGCTAATAAGTTCAGGAAAATTAACTTTGAGCGGTCTCATTTAAAAAGGAGAAAAAAAAAAGATACCTGAACAAAAACAAATGTAGCTCTTGGAGGAATGGGTTGGTCAAGGCTGAGGATTTGTGGTTCAGTTTTATTCTTTTTTTCTTTCCTGGTTTATGGTTGTTGGAGAAACATATGTTTGTTTTTGTTGGTAGTTTATTACTTTTTTTTTTCATGTGTAACATATGGCCAATGGACCCAACTAGAGAATGTTATTTTTGGTGCTGCTTTCTGTCTTCCCTGGTGATTTACTGATGGTAATGGCAAACTGCCAATCAACACTGTTGAAAGACTTTTCATGCTGTCTTTCAAAAAAATTTAAAATACTTTTTGTTAAAGTGCCATGTAAGAAGTGAAATAAAATTATCAAATCAACTAGGTAAGAGGAAGTACATCTATTAAAATAACATGAGCGATTTTATAATATACTTAAGTAACTGTTTTGTGTAGTAGACTTTTACCTGTTCATATATCTTTGATCTTACTGCACTCCCTGTGAACCCTGGAAAATTCAGTTTTTCTGAGGGTTAGGATTGTTTATGAAAGTAAGATGATTTGCTTTTGTCTTTCAGTAAAGCAAATAAACTTGTTCAGCAATGTTTTCTAGAAGAAGAAAGGATTTTTTTTTTATTTTATAAACATCTGATCTCTTGAAAAATAATAGACTATGTCCTTCAAAGATCAAGCAATTTTAGAACTAATTTTGTCTTCAGTGGTTGTTTGTTCTGATTGTTCTGTAGAAAATATTTTCAGTTATGCCTCAGGTCCAATTAGAGGAAGCTGAGGTTTTCCAGCAATACTGTCTGTTGTAGCATGGCCAACTTGTTACTCTTATTTAAGTACAATAGAAGCAGATGAGTTCTGTGGCATGCTGAATTGTTTTCCCATTGGGCATTTGTGGAAGAAGCAGATGCTCTGTGGTGTGATCTCTGCTGTAGCAGTTGGTTGGTAGGCTACACTCCTGAATGCAAGCAGCAGGAAAAATGTCAGGTTCTCAAGGTTATGGTAATATATAGATTTTTTTAAATTAGCCAACAAAAGTGTAGATGTGCCTAAGATAAGAAAAGGGTGTCTGAATAGCACTGGAAGTAGTACTTCCTTCATTTTTGACTAATAAAAAATTCAGTAGTTACATTTTTACTAATTTCCTGCTTAAGAACCTTATAAGAATTTTGCTTTCACTTCAGCAAAGATATGTATCTACTAAATTCTTTAAATTTTTTTTTTTCTTTCTTACCTGGTATGACTTAAAAGTCTTGTTCTCTTTTGTCAAAGCAGGACACAAAGAAAAGTCTCTGCTAAATTAACAAAACCCTGCTATTTGGGGAGTATACAATATATGGCACTTTGCAACAATTTAAGCTTTTGTTAGTTAGCCTGCTCTGGCTTTTTTTTTTTTATACTTTTGCTTTCCATCTGAATGCTTAAAATCAATACTCCCTTAATGCTGGTATAAAAGTTCTGCATTTATCTTCTTCAAGATCTTGTTGTTGAGCATTAAGATGATAATTTGTGAAATAAAAATCAGTGTAACAGGACATTAGTAATGTGTTAGTTAATCATAAATCACAATTATGAAACTAAAGTCTAAATAATATTGTTCAAGAGAAGTTTATACATGGAACATTGTTTTTTAATTTTTTCACAGGTTATTCAAAATCAAAACAGACTTGAGTTAATTCAGTACCACATTTTCAATCAATGCACAGTGGAAAGGTTTCAGAAAATGATGATAAATATTTGCTAAAGTTTTTTTCTTCCAGTTCAATGTAATTTTATAACTTATAGGATGATATTTTAATTTATTGATAATGTTTTCATTACAAAATTTTGAGTGGCTAAGTTAGAAGAAAACATAGCTTCCTGTTCCCATTCACTGAAAGGCTGTGGGGCGTGACATTCTTTGATCATGATGTTTTGTTTTTAATTACATTTAGATTCCTGTAGGTATTTGCCAAACTTTGGAAAGCAGATTAAATCTCTAGATAGAAAAAAAATGCTATTTTGCACTTTCTTAAAGAAAAAGCAACTGCCCTCAAATTGCTCAATGATAACTAAAACAAATTCTGCTTTCTGAAGCAGAAGCATAATGGTTTATTTTTAACTACCCTAATCAGTTTTCAAGTGATTAATTTTAATTTAGAAACTAAAATCTTGTATAATTGTCACCTAAAATGCAGCATCTTTTGTAGAATACCAATTAGATTGGGATGATATGATATTTTTGTAGATTATACCTTCTCCTAGTAAATTTATGTAGTCTTAGTCTATGCAGGATAGGATTTAGACACTTCTAAGTGATACAGACTCTTTAGGTACTACTTTAAAGCACAGAAGTTTGTCTCAGCAGAACAGTGCTTTACAGACTTTAGGATATGCTGAGAAGTTGTCAGGAGCTGAAGGAAATATTCTGTTTAAAGTGCCATTGCTGGAAAAAGCATGGCTGTATCTGACCCAGAGGTTTGGTTATGTGAATAACATTTCACAAGGCACATATTGCTATTTACATGAAAGGGACAATTATATGATTTTCCTTTTAAAATAACTGTGTTTGAGGAAGAATGACTGACATATCTTTGATTATTGGATAGAATCTTCAAAATTAGTCCAAGATCTTTGTTGTTTTCTGGACTTCATGCAATGGGTAGAAGCACTGATGTTGTAAGGAAGCAGTACAAGCCCTGAATGTACATGGGAAGGAGCTCTCCTGGGGGATTCTTGCAAATCAGTAAAGACCACTTTCTAGGGTTTCAAATGTGCTATGGTTAGCATGAATGAGGTACATGTTGGAAATGGAATATTAAAAATGCTGATTACTCTGGTGCGCAGAAGAAATACTTTTAAAGGATCTGCAGTCACTTCACATTCACCATCAATTCAGTGTAAGATGTCCTTGAGTTCCTCCTACAACTGAGCTCTTATGCAAGGAATAACTTTATGCTTAATACCATCTCTTCTGACTGAATCATATTTTCTGGTACTGCTTAAATGCTCAGGGTCACTGATCTTCACCACCTCATTTGTGAGCTCTAGAAATGTAGTAGGTCTTTTACCCTAAAGGCACTTCTCTTAAGGAGATTTAACCAGTACAGAACAGTACTGCATACCTGTTAGACTAGTCACAAAATATACATCAAAGCAGTTGTATGCTATGTAAAGTGCAGTCTTGATGCTTTGCTCTTTAATGTGACTATTGGCCTGAGTACATAATGTTCCAGGGAGACCCCTATGTTCCATACTGCTAAAGAACCTCCCCTTCTTGGATCAACAAACATCCTAATGGCTGTGAAAATTGGGAAGGAAGGTGAATAACTTTACTGAATTACTGCAGGCATGGTAGGATGGAATGAAAGTATTTTTTCATTTAAAGTATGTGACTTTTATTCTTGGTCAAAGACAGTTGTTGGCAGTGTCTTGCATCACTTCTAGGAGATGTTTGGCTACTTGAAGTGTTGAGAACAGGTGTTGCAATGTGTATTGTGAAAATCTGATGCAATTTAGCCCCTCAGAACTGGCCAAACTATGTAGTTTCCACAGCACCATGAAACCATTAGTATATTTCACTATTCTTTTTTAATGATGAAGAATTAATAAAAGAACTTCTAGTTTTCAATTCATCCAAGGGTGTTTTCATAACTGCAGGATTTCCTCACTACATGGGGATGGCTTATTTTGGTACACCAATACAAATTCCCTTGTGAAGACCTCCAAAACTTTTGAGATACTTATCTAGCTTCCTGGTTCACTAAACATTCACTCATGCTTAAGTCATGAAGGTTGAACGTGTTTTCTTTCAAGGATGAAGTTTTCTCTTGTTTGGAGAGAAAATGGCCTGGGCTTTATAATAAAAATGTCATCTTCTCTCTCCTCTGTCTGTTGTCACAAAATGAGAATTGCCATGCTGGGTCTCAGCCACAATAATCGTAAATGTTCAAAAACATCTAAACTTAGCAAAGATAACAAAACCTAACTGAGGCTAAAACAAAAAACCTCAGCCAGTGGTGGCTAATTTTAGAGTAAGAAGCAGGAATATTTATCCCCACAGGAGGAAGAGTCCCTACAGGAAGAACCACATAGGAAACAAGGCAAAGAGGACAGAATCTGTCCCATCTATCTATCTATCTATCTATCTATCTATCTATCTATCTATCTATCTATCTATCTTCTCCCTTGGCAGTCGTTATGCAATATTCTCATAAAGAATAGGTGAGGAATCTGAGAGATACATGTATTTTGCAACTATTAACCCCTTAGTTTCTACATGGATCCTTAGAGAAGCTATTATGCAGGTAAATGCTGCTACAGCCTTCTGACTGCATGTTCTGACTTTCAGGGTTAGACACTCATTTCCCACTGATATGAGTTAAGACCAACCAACCAACCAACCAAAAAAGTTAAATGGACTACAAACTGGGAGGAGTGAAGGCAGGGGAAGGGAAGGGATGGGCTGGGATGCTAAAGTAGAAAGTGCTTATAGCAATTTATGCCAGTTTGGAGAAGAGTGGGACCTTTCATTTCTGTTAAATAGAAAGAAAATGTTGGTTTCCTTTGGAAATTCTGTTACAGATCTTCCAGGAGCTGAAATTAAAGGAAATAAGAGTTTCCTTTTTCTTTTTTTATACCAGCGCATGAATGTTGTTCTGTTCTTTATCTAAAATACACTTTAAGCTTGTTTTCAACAAGAAACTGGCCTATAGCTTACTGATATTAAAAATAGTTGAATTTCATTAAAGCTAATCAGGAACGTGGGTTTGGTCTGGTTACTGCGAGTCCTGTGCACGTAGTGAGCACCCTGTCCCTGGTGAATAATACAGAAGAGCT